CATTTCTTTTTAAATTTAAGTATTAGGGGTGAAGTTCTGGGGATCTGCGTTTTGAATGGTTGACTCAGCTATATTAGAAAGAGATAGCAAGTTCCGCTTCTAAAGTTGGGACGCCGGTTTAGCCTGACGTGCAGTCTATATTTCTATCTCTATGACTTTAGGTGACTATTCTGTCTTCGTCTGACATTCATTCCTAATCATTCCCTCTACTTCTCTGTTTCCCAAGCAACGAAAACTTTTTTATCGTACCTCGCGTCGTTAGAAAAAGACAGGTTGGTGACCGCACAGCAGCCAACTCTTTCTAATTTTTGACACGGCCTGACTATGGTATTATATCATATCCGACCTGAATTTTGACGTGAAAAACGTGAATTTCTGACAAACATTTAGGAACGTTCGCGAACATGCGCGTTTGGTGAATACCCGGCTTTACGACCGTGGCAGGTTGAGCTTTACGATGGCGACGCGCGCCACTTTGCAGTCTTCAGCTTCTGGAGGTTCGTTGAGTGGTCGGTTAATGGAAATAGAAAGCGTTTTGGCGTGAACAGTTTCGAAGATATATTTTCTGCCTCGTAATCGAAGCGATATGGCTGTACGTTTACAGAGATATAGCAGTGATAATCTTTAGCTACAGAGAGCATTCGTCTTAGAGAAGACTTTCAAGATCTATTTCACTGTCACAACCTAGGGTAAGTGACCCGATTACTGGTGGTGTCTTTATTATGGAGGATTAGCTATATTTCTATGAATTAAAACCACGATATTCATACTACATCTGAAATCATTTTTTTTAATGAAGTTAAGTTTCGCTTTTGTTCTGAGGAATTTAAACATTTGCAATCTAAACTCTTTTATCTATTAAGTTCCGTATTTTAGTGTTGAATCTGATAATTTGAACGTGATTCTTCCAAAAAAATTTCTGGGGATTCCAGATAAACGAAACTTACTAGAGAGCTCGAAAACAAAATAATTTCAACAGTAAAAAATTTTCTCACAAGGAGCTGGAAAAGTAACTGGTATACCCCTGTTTCAGGTATTAAAATTATTTAAGAAATTCCAGAATTTACATCTATTAAATTTATGTGTACAATTTTGTTAAAGAAATTTTACTTCCAAAATATAGTTTTCTGATCGTAGGTGTTCATTTCGTGTAATAATTATCGTTCATAAATAACTTACAGGTTGTAGAACGGAGAATGTTCCTGTCACAGTTTTACGAGACTTTTATGAAATATAAATGTACACTGTATTCTTTTTAGATTCCCCGTAGACAAAGCATCGCGAGATTCGTTGCGACTGCTACACCCGCGATTGCTTTCACCGTATTGTATCGCTTTAATCGAGTATTGTCAGGTTTTCCCTTTATTTCGCCCGTTTCTGTTGAACGTTTCATCCGAGGCTCGTTTAGGGCTGCAAAAGGTTATGTAACTTTCATTGCTGGCGATTTGTAAACAAGCATACCATTCCGTGGGAAAAGAATGCCCGTCCCATTTTCCGTTTATTCGACTCGCGCAGGTGTGAAATTTGCATTTTCGATATTATGTTCCTCGATTTAAACATATATCGCATCAAACAACGTGTATTTTCAGCTGATTTCTAACAATGTTATAATAATAGCACCAAGAAATACTTGATACACGTCCACATATTTCTCTTGTATCTATTCCGATCTTAGAATTCTTTTTAACCAAACAGAATTTTTTGTATCATTGAGAAAGCAGACGATTTTAATTCATTTGGAGACACTATACCTGAAACAAATTTACATATCTTTCAGATTGTCTTTGTAGAAACCGAAGGCTTGCAGACAGTATTACAAAAACTTCTTTTCTTTTGTGTTCCATGTATTTTAGTACAACCTGTATAATTCAAGCTGTGATGCTGTTATACAGGACCACGAAACATGATCAGAAATTTTTTTGGCTAATATAACATAATCCAAAGAGAACGTTTTGTCAACCCTTTTTTTCCAGAGTTTTCAAGGTCACATTCAGTTTTTCTTATGAATAAACCTATCATTCTTTTACGTCCATCCTTTAACGGATACTAAGACGAATTCGGCAAGTATCATTGCAAACGTTTTTTCTTCTTTGAAATCAAAGAAAAATTAAGAAAACTAAATTTTATAGCTGTTATTGCTTTGATCTTTCACATTACTGTTTGTAAACATTTCTGTCTACAGCAGTAGAATATTCTAAGCTGATCATGTTGCGAGGTCCACCCTGTTTCTTAAATATTAATATGTCTTCTAATAACTTCATTTAAAATACAACCTTTCCAGAAATCAATTCTGCAACACAAATTTCTCGAACAAAAATATCGAAATAAACTTTAATGGGAATACCCAGCATATCCACTAAAACATAAATACCACAGACTGTTCACAAGGGAACTGTACCAAAGATGTAAGCATATCAGTAAACAGGGAACCAAACCAAATGAATAGTTTCGTTCGATAATTAAATCCGCCTTGCATTGTCCGAGTGTGTACCACAATGGACTCCATTTCCTTTTGTCTAAGCGGGACGGGCTAAACAATTCGGTGGACATTACTTCGTACATTACTTCATTGTCCACGGTATCATAACGTTCCATCCTTTCGACCGTGATAATTCTACTTTCGATCGCGATTAACCTGCTCCAAAATGGCGGTGTGTCTCAGTCATTCCTGGTTGACTTTCCTTAACGTGTTCCTGATTCTAGCTTTTAATACGAACATAAAAGCGGCACCGTTTTCAACTAATGTGCCCCAGACTAGTTCCCCTCCATTACGTGCAGCCTTCCCGTCGAAACAAAGTCGTCCGGAATAATAATACTAATTGACGCTAACGATGCGAAAATTTTTCGGCCGTTTGACTCGTAAAATTTTCAGCGAAAATTTCGCGAGCCGTTCGGTTCGTTGATGGTGGTCGGAATTAAAATAATATCGCCTTCATGAAAATTCATATCGGGCGGACGGTGGCACGATCACGGAAAGGAGAGATTTTACGATCCATTTATGCGGATTGTTAGACGGGCTTGAAATAAACGGCGCGGTTATTGGGATAAAGTGTTCTCGATGCATTTAGCGACCGTAATGTAATTGAAATAAATATTTTCTCTAGTCATCGCCGTTTTATTTGTTCTTGATGAGGGAATTAACTACAGGAACTGTATTCTTCTATTCCTTATAGGAACATATAGAAAGTTTATTCATTGAGGTATGTGCAAGTTGCGTAATTTGTAACGTACCCAAATGTATAAAGTAGACAAAAATGAAGAGGCAAAGTGAAATCGATAAAAATTAACTTTGATTTCATTCAGTATAAAATTCGTTATTTTTAATTTTATTCAGGGAAGAGAACTTGGCTAAGAATGTACAATAGGATTAAAAAATAATAGTCTTTTAGTTGCAAACTACTATTATGATTGGACTGCTGATCCTTAATTTCCGCAAACTGGACATAAACAAAAATTTTTTTACTGCACTGAGGTTGTACGAGGTCCTGTATAAAATAAAAACGTACTGAACCCCTTTCTTACAATGACAAGTTAAACATGTGACGATTTTAACATGGATTCAGTACCTTATTTTCTTTAAATCGAAATGAAATAATACTATTTTGCTAATTTTGAAATTCAATTTTCAGTGCAAGTGTACATTTACAATGAACATGAAATTGATTTTTCTTCTAGAAAATGTTAATAACATCGTAACACGGAGGTGCGAAGTCATCGAACAAATTCTATGACAACGAGTTAATTGACACACAATGGAGTCATTTTCTTTATCCTATACTAAAACATCTTTATTAGAGCAATTTTCAATGTAAGAAATTCTCACAGAATTCTTCGATAGAATTCTACGATTAACCCTCTATCCGCCATCTTGATCGAAGAATCGATTAAAAGGGTGTGTCCCCTAAGTGGACCCTTTCTTCGATTCACTAACCACTCGTTAAATCGTCACTTACTTACAGAGCACCCGGAGCAAATTATCATTCGGTCGATTCATTATTCACCGTCCTCCAGCTTAATACCACTTTTGTGCCGGCGGAATTTCACGGTCATTAATCAGATGCAGTCAAAGGGCGGAGGGGCAGGAGGGGGCTCGAGGTAACCGAGAAACCGGGAAAATTAGTTTTGTATCAATTACAACGATTAATCATCGTTAGATCATTATTAAGGGGTCGCGTGCTTCGCAACCCCTCGAATTTCACGCGTCCACGGTTCACCCAGTGACTTCTGGGAACAATTTCCGAGAGTTACGACTACTGTCACAGACGTCCGTGACGCGTTGGCAGAGTTTTCGTACCTGTGATTATCGTTTTATTATTTTCTGACGGGATCAATAAGAATTCTCGATAAGATTCCGCTGGAAGCGATTCCAGGGACGTTCTAGTTGACGAAGAAAATTGTCTTCGGGGGTGATTTACGCGTAATTCCTTTGTGCTTCGATCCATTGGTACGGTGGAGCGATTGAGTGCATATGCAGGTAATTAAAACATTATATCTGAGGCAGGACTTAAATTTTTTTCTTATTGATTGTCTGTAACAAACTTATAGTGTGTATGAAGTTAGGGGATGCACTTTAATTTTTATTAGTTAAATATGGAAAATTCGCAGGTCAGATGATTGTACTTTTTTTCTGTTGTACATAAGATATATTTTCTTCACGTCTTTTTGTTGAAGGTATTGCACGAATAAGTGGTATATTATTAAGCCAAATATCTTATCAAATGTTTTGGTTGTTATATTGTATCTATGAAGTATAAGAATTTCGTCATTGTGTTTATTTGATATATTTACTTAGAATTTACGTGTATGGTCACGATACTGTGTTGTTATTAATTAAATAGTTATTTCGTTTTACGTTAAAAAACATATACAAATACTATTTCTTTCCTCCTAAAAGATACTCGATAGATTATAATTCGTCGGAAAATAAAATTATTTATAAAAATTATTTACATGCAAATCACAAGGACACTACGTTGAGTCTATTTGATTTTTATACGCACCTGAACGTCTAAGGCATGGTAAACAAATATGAGGCCAAGCAGTATCACAGTAGACACAGAGATCAGGGTTTTCAATGCTGTCGAGTAAAACGAGGCCTGGAACATAAAACATCGTCCTCGTAAATCCCTGCTCTGCGATGATATATTGCCCTTATTTTACGAGCACTTAAATCTACATAGTTTCCCCTACAATAGACAAACAGATAGCCTTTTTTCCTACTTCCCCCAGTACTTCACAGATAAATCGGAAAACTTCATAAATATACCGAACAACCATAAATTAATTACAAATAATGCAAAAAGTATTTGTAACACACTACAGAAGCAGTTTTGTTATGGTCATTAACCCTCAGACGGCAATGTTTGAGTTTCATTCGACTTAACCCCTTAAAAGCTCAAGGTATCATCTTACTTTGACGGCCGAAAAAGTTAATCTATGTTTAGGGTTCTTTTCTTCAGTAATACTAACAAATCAATAAAACCTAACAAAATGCATTTGATTACATATTGTATTTACTGAGGAAAAAGTCCCTAAAGATCGTTTAACTTTTTCGGCCGTCAAACTAGAATGACTCCTGAATCAAACTCATCAGATTACAGTATCTCATTCAAGCTAGTAATTTTTGTTTAGTCTGACAAGTTCTTTAGTGATGCTCGAGGAAACACATTCCGAAACACATATTTCGAAAGGAAACTGTACAAGAGAGTGCTGTTTCAGCGTTCACTAATATCGTCTGCCTTCCAAGGGTTACGTAATTACTATCAAGTTACGGAATGCATCAGCAACTTTCACAATATTAATTTACAATCACGCTGATCGCATATGCGATATCGTCAATTTAATATTCATGAAACCTCCGCTTCCGAGTTTCGGATATCTCAATCCGAACCACGCGAGAGGCTTCTGAAACCGTCTCCTCCCAGTGGCCGCATACTCAATTAAGAATTCAGAAGTGATTAAAGCGGACGTCCTGTGCCGCGTACTCGAGGCTCTTCGGGGCCCGTTATCGTCAAATTAAATCGAGCCGACAACCCGGCAACAATAACATTTTCTTCGCGAAACTTCCGATTCGCGAAACTTCCGCACGTTGCGAGTCTGCGAGCCTTCCAGCCTCTGGGCCTAATTGCGAGCGGCGTCGTTCATCCGCCGCTTAGATTAGACCCAATGTAATATTCAAACGTCCGCATAAACTTACTTATTGCTCGCCTCGTAAAAGTTGAACGTTGCGCTTTTACCGTCGAAGTTGAACCAAACCCACTTCCCCAACGCTCCGCGACTTCGACGCTCGTAAAAGGGAGCTCCTGACACTCGGGAGCGCCGCCTTGGAAAAATAAACTCTCACATCGACGCCGCCCGCGTGACTTTCCTCCCTTGTCCTTTCCCTTTTCTTGGCGGTGAATACCTTGTACGTGCAACGAACGTCGCGGACACGAGAAACAGCTGAAAGTGTGTACTTTGGCTTTACGAGCGACATGCTTCTGGTATTTTTAGGTACGAAGGAAGAGAATTAAGGGAAGTTTTTGGGAGGAAGATAGGAGACATGACCCTCGACAGGTTCCATTAAAAGTGTTTTTTTACGCCAGTCGTGAGGGAAATTTTCTGTGCGGAGAGGAGGGGTCGATGTCTGACCACTGTTGGAAAGTAGGAAAGAAAGGAACCGTCTTTGGGCTAGGTCTGGGGTTAGATCTGAGAGCTGGGCATGGGGAAGATAATACCTGACCCTCGTTTGGTACCGTTAAAAGTGTTTTTTACGCCATTCGTGAGAGAAATGTTCAGTGTGGAGCGGAGAGTTTGATGTCTGACTACTGTTGGGACTTGAACTGAATATATGATTAACATTGTGCTAACACTGGATTACTTTTCTTAAACATATTATTTTCCTCTAACATAATGTATCCGAAAGTTGGTTATAGTGATCATTCAAGGTGAACGATTTGAATAAGTAGGTCCGTTCTCCACGAATCGATGATCATGAATGGTTCTTAACTAAACAGACCATCGATTCAGGAAGGGCTTCAGCATCAGCGCGGATAGCGCAAAGGAGAGCCATAAATTGTTTATTTTCAGAGCGAAGTCATGCTCAATGCGCACTGAATTTGATTACGCTTTTTATATCGACCGGCCTCCACGCGGATTACGCTGTTCGGAGTTTCAGGCCGTGTAAAGGGACGGATTTAAAGGTATCGAACACCGTGAACTGGAGCGAATAAAATCGAACGACTGAATGAATAAAACCGAATAAATACCATTAAACGAAATCGAAGGTTAAGTTTCCCGTTTAAAAGAGTCGAAACAGTTTCGTTTCTGATGCTTTTGAATTGCCAAAGGCGATAACAACTTTGATAAATTCTCAAGGTACCTAAGATCTCTTCGGTTGCCTATTAATGTCATAAATAGACTGCGGATTCTTATGCAAATATAGATTTTTGTGAACCAGTTTACAAGAATTGGAATCCAAGAAACTAAGCAAATTAAAAACATCATTAAGTTTTCTTGTTAATCTTACAGTACTGAATTTTAGGTAATCGTGAATCCCACAAGAGCATAAAATTTGCAGTCTAGTGATTAATTATGAAAAAAAAATTGAGGAATTTATTTCATGATAATATAACACCTTTTATTCACAATAATGCTAGGTTTTTTTTCATGTTTCTTACTCGAAGAGAATTATGGAATGGGGATTCGAATGAGTAATATATCGAGTTAATCGGTCCACGAGTGGATGTTCCGTTCAGCGGGCAGCATTTGGTTTTGCGGTGGCGAATCTGCGGCTTCCATAACAGCGGGCAGTCAGTTAATTAGTTAGTTACACGTAAGAGGAATATAAATTAGCTACCGAGCGACATGAAACGCTCGCCTGTAGTTCGTAGCTAGTTTCTCGGTTAAATGACGGGGAAACGCTTCACGGTGACATTTGCGTAAACATATTTCCATCATAACAGCGCGAAAATGGATCGAGTGACGTGAAAATTGGCAAAGATGTTCCGTTTATGTCCATTTTCTATCAGGCTAAAGATCGTTTATATTTCTTGTAACAATACACTGCGTGGAATAACCATAAAACCACTTTTTCTTCTAGAAAATATAATTTATGCTTCTTTGGAGAAATATTATGTCTCAACAAGATTTCCGACATGACATACTTCGTTCGTTTTATAATAGTAGAAGTATTAGAATACGTATCTGTAAACGGAGAATTTGTTACATTTTTGCGACGGAAATTTTTAACTCCTCTCAATTAATAATTGGGGAAGTTGTGTCACCTATAAAAATTTTGTTGTGATGAACAATAGAAGGAGAATTTTATTCCAAGTGTACGCTTCTCGGAGATGGAATATAATCTTTCATAGGTCGTTACTTTCAACGTCGTTCTCCATGAAATCGTAATCTCAGCTGTTACAACACTTTCCCTAATCGAGTTACAAGCGGAAACTAGGCGAGCATATACACTCACGCCTCGTCCTAATCCCATCACACTCTTTTCACTTTCGTTGCAGTTTATTTACCGTGGCAAACGAGCCGGACCAGTTTCCCGTGAACTTACGATCACGACGATGCAATAACAGGTTATCGTCTTCGCTGGATGGCCATGGTCACGTATCGTACCTCCGAACGATCACAGGATTGCTATTTTTATACGTGTTGTTACTTCAAATTGAATTCCTTTAAATGACCTAAACATGCCCTACAATATTCAGTACACAATCTATAATTTGGGCGTCTCTCTTGCTCGTATGGGTATTACATGGTCGTACTTAAAATGGAAGTGCAATGTCGAAGGTGAAAATATAAATCACATAGTATGGCAACGCAAACTCTGTGACTCTCAACGATTAAAGTTAATGAGGAACATGGAAAAAGTAAAATTTCAAATACCCATTAAAATTGGAATGATAATCACATTACGGTGTGTCTTCATACATTTTTTTTTAAAGAAGTGAAACTTACGTAGTTAAGAACATGTACCTATAAAAAATAACTATACGAAAGTTGACTGACATATATTCTTCCGTACTTATACATATATGTGTAGATATATGCACAGCTAAAATAAATCTCTTTCAGGTTTGAAATAAAAAAAAATTGTCATCGCTATTATTAATATCATATTAAGTGTACCAACGAGTAATCCATCATTTTCTCAATAATATAATACTAATTTTCTTGTATATTAATAGTGAACCTTGTTTAATTTTCGAAAGAATTCGTAGACTCGATTTGATGATTGATTATCGTCGATGATCCATCGGTTCGCGGAGAAGAATTTTCGGTATTTCCCATCAACGAGGAACACGTCGTCCTATGTACAACAACGCGGAAACTCACTCGTCGAGACGGAACCGCAATTTTGGACGACGACCAGTCATATAGACGGTGGCTCTCTAGTTCCTTTTGTCAATAAAACCCGTCGGACTTAATCCGTGGTGAAACGCGCGGCCAAATCCGCAGCATTGCACTTTTCTTGAGTGGTCTCGCGAGCCACGTGAACGGCGGAGGATTATTGATTGCAAATGAAATCGAATCGGGACGAAAGAACGAAGAAGCTCTGTCGGTCGATAATTTGTTTCGTCGTCTCGCATTGTTGCCGAAACGGGAATCTATTTCCTGTGAATCGTCGCAATTTAAAGTCCGGCCTTGGTGAAAACACGGGGAGAGACTTTTCTGATAAGGAACCATTGGAGATGGAACAAAGGCAAAGATTCTCTGAGGAGAATGGGAATACGTTTCCCGAAATGTACCCCTAATTATAGTAATCCGATAGAAATTTAACGTTATACCTTACTATATCTTCTAATCTCAGTTCTGGAAAATGATTTTCTCGAGAATAAAGCTCAATAAGAAAATATTGAAATCGATATTGTCGATTTTTTGTAGCTTTGGTATTTATATGGTATTGGGAGACAAAAATTTGTCCACTTATCTACTTCTACTTGTATGAATATATATTTCCAAATTTATGATTGCTTGAACTAAGGAAACGTGTATGTGCTGCTAAATTTTGTTTCTGGACCAGTGTGTAGCGTGAAGGAACTTTCTCAAACAAAGAAACAATATATGTAATTTTGAGTTAAGTGTTATCCCTTGTTTTGAAATT